AGTGTCAGCAAGTTCATCCCCAACATGAGGATAAGAGCAGTACCTCTCCCACAGGGTTGCCAGGAGAATTCAATGTATGTAAGACATACAGCACAGCGCCCAGCACAGAGGTCACACTTAGGAAATGTTAGCTCTGATCTTTATTCCCAATACTGTTATGACAGCCTAGTTAGAGGTATGTCCCCCCGCCCAGGGGGACACACATGGAATTAAATTTCTTATCTTCCTGCTGCTGCCAAACTTTTGGAAGCTTTGAGGCTTCACAGCAGCAACGTAAGCGGGTGGTTAGACACAAGGAGGGATTGGCAGCTTCAAGTTGGAAACCTGGAGCTACTGATAAGCAGGACCCCACTCCCTGGATTTAGGTCTGGGCATCATCAATCAGCACGAATGGCCCTGTCTCCCCAAGGAGCCCAGGAAAGCCAGCTGAGCCCCTAACAGCACGGAGGTAATGCTTTTCTCTGCCCTGAGCTTCCAGTGAGGAGCTCAGTAAGTAAATGACACGCTGACAAGGGAGAAGCATTTACCTACACAAAAGCACCAAGGCTTCTCCAGTTGGCCAGTAACTATCTATAGAGCCCGGGGCTCTGTTATTCAAATTCCAAGTCACTGAATTAAAATATGCAGTGGCCAGACTGGACAGCTATACCCTCCAGTGATGGAGAGGCTGTTGACCCAGAAGGTCTTAGGGACTGGGTAGGTGACATAAATTAGCAGAGAGAGCTGGATGGGGGGTTGGGGGAAGGGCTGGGGCAAACCAGAGAAAGCATGCTTCCCTCCGCTCAGAGGTTGCCAAATCTAGCCAGATCTCGATTTTTTTTCCCCCCAAGAGAAGTGAAAAATCTGGATCTTAATAAGAAATCTCCCAAGTTTTAAATGTAGGCAATTCATTGAAAAAACATTTAAACCATTAGGCCCAGTACAGCCGAATGCTGGCTGCATGTGGCATGCTGGCCACCAGGGTAACCTCTGGTACGTACAGATGTTTTTCCCCAAAACTGGGCCATCTAGGGTACCCCCAGAGGACTCAGGGATTCTGCAGAAATCGGACACAAACTTCTTCCCCTTCCTTCTCCCTCTCAAACACACATACGTGAGCTTTAGAAAGAACCGCAATGAGAAGTGCTCTTGTGTGGAATTTTATCGCGGTGGAGACCATCGGTGGCGGGTAACCTGTATTGGCAGGTGCAGCAGCTTTTATGGGAACCTTATTCCCAAGCTTCGCCTGCTCTCTGCCTGATGAGACAGTATCTTAAAATTTCCAGACAAACGATTATAAAACCTGTTTTTGGCAACTACTTATCTTGAGCGAATCAAGTTTTTCTCAGTTCTGGTCAACTGCCTAAGACAGCAATTGTCATTATTCTGGATTTCATTTATACACTATCATCACAACATTTTCATTGCTCTCAAGAATTGATTATGAATGAAAGATACAGATTTTCACATAAAAAGTGTTCTGATCAGCTTTTATGCAGCAGAGTTTTCTTAATTAAGGTTTCGTACAAAAAACGGGAGCAGGGTTAGATAGTTTTAAAGTTGTATAACCAATGACCTGATTTAATACCTTCATTTTACAGAGGAGGCTGAGTGACGGGGGGAAAGATGGCTTTCCCCAAAATCACTTGGTCAGTTAGAGGTCAAGTTGGGGCTGGAACACAGGTCTTTCAACCTCCAAAAAACTACGATCTTTCTACTCTATTTGGCAAACCAAGAACTAATTATCACTTGTGTGAAAAAGTGAACACACTGCAACTGAATCTTTTACTCTATGAAATAATGTATTTTTCCCCAATCTACGCAGACAAGAAATGCTTCTCCCATTTCTCTACCTCAGATACATCCGAAGTCCCAAGGCCAGTGGTCACCTATCAAGAGGCCTCATCCTGCGCCCAGCCTGCAGGGAGAAGGCAACTGATAACTGTCTTTCACACTCATCACTTTAAAATGCCTGCACTCTTGACCTCCAGTCCCTCGTCAGTCCTCCGCAGAGCCCGGTGGGGCAGGAATCATAGCCCCAATTGCACAGATGAGAAGACCGAGGCTCGGAGTGGTCAGTGGCTGGCCCAAGATCACACAGCCGAAGAAAGCAGATCTGTCTTGCTGCAAGTCCTACCCACTCTCTGCTCCCTCGCGGCTCTGCTCTGGACCCACCTCGGCCCCCTGCAAAGCCCTTTTCCAACAGTAACAGCAGTAACCACACACCAGGCACGCCACTCCCTGCATTGAACTGAATGCCTCCCTTTTTAAGCCTTATGCTTTATGGGACATTTTTTTTTACTGCAAAAGTAATGTGCTACTTGGAACAAGTTGAAAACGGAGTGGTGCAAAGACAAATTTAATTATCTCTCCTGAGCATCTTTCCAAATCCCTCCAGGACATACACAAACTCAACATTAAATATGAGGTACTTCCCTGGTGGCGCAGCGGTTAAGAATCCGCCTGCCAATGCAGGGGACACGGGTTTGAGCTCTGGTCTGGGAAGATCCCACATGCCGTGGAGTAACTAAACCCGTGCACGACAACTACTGAGCCTGTGCTCTAGAGCCCGCGAGCCACAACTACTGAGCCTGCGCTCTAGGGCCCACCTGCCACAACTACCAAGCCTGCGTGCCTAGAACCCACGCTCCGCAACAAGAGAAGCCACAGCAATGAGAAGCCTGCGCACCGCAACGAAGAGTAGGCCCCTCTCGCCACAACTAGAGAAAGCCCACATGCAGCAACAAAGACCCAATGCAGCCAAAAATAAATAAAACAAATAAATTTAAACCACAGTAATCTATTAAAAAAAAACATTAAACATGAGGTGTGCATACTCTTCCATACCTTCTCCTTGTTCATAAAAAACACTCACAAACATATATAGGAGGAGCACTGTTTGTTACCAAAAAATCAGACCTAGCTCCCTGCATGAATCTGCAGCTGGTTTTCCTCACAAAATACCACGAACATCCCTCCAGATGGACAGAAACACAATGGACTCAGGCTTCTTAACCAGCTGCACAGTGTCACACAGTATGGATGGACCATAACTTACCCAGCTTTTGCTCTACTGAGAGGCATTCAGATGGCTCCCAAGTATTTTGCCAGCATAAATAATGCTGCAATAAACAATCTAGTGATACACTCTTAGGCCTCAGTGCTTTCACTTCTCTAAAACAGAGGCCCCAAAATGCCACCGTCAGGTCAAAATGTACGCACATCTTAATTTAATTTTAAAATAGCATATTATCTTTTCTTTAATAAATTTATTGATTTAAATTTATTTTTGGCTGCGTTGGGTCTTCACTGCTGCCCACAGGCTTCCTCTAGTTGCGGCGAGCCGGGGCTAGTCTTCATTGCGGTGCGCAGGCTTCTCACTGCGGTGGCTTCTCTTGTTGCGGAGCATAGGCTCTAGGTGCGCGGGCTTCAGTAGTTGTGGCAATGCGGGCTCAGTAGTTGTGGCTCGCAGGCTCCAGAACACAGGCTCAGTAGTTGTGGCACACGGGCTTAGTTGCTCCGTGGCATGTGGGATCTTTCCGGACCAGGGCTCAAACCTGTGTCCCCTGCATTGGCAGGCGGGTTCTTAACCACTGTGCCACCCGGGAAGTCCCAATAGCATATTATCTTAATTGAAAAACATATTCTCATTAACAAGGAATAAAAGTATAAAAAGAACAACATACAAAAATCCCTCAACCCAGAGACAAGTTACTATTAATAACTTGGTAAATTTTCTTCCAGAACAAGATGATAGAGTTAGTAGAACTTTTTTTACTTTAATAGGCTCAGACTAAATTCCAATCAGACTGACGGCCACTCATATTCCCACCGCGAAGGTATGAGAGCACCATTTCCCCACACTGTCCCCATAGCTCTATAACATTTAAAACTTTTGCCAATCTAACAGATGAAAATATGATGTCACTGCCATTCCCACTTGATATTTCCTTGACTAGAAGGGAGACAGAACACATCTCATGGGTCTCTTAGGAACATGCTGGACTTTGAAACACAGGGGAAACAAAAACATCATTCGATCATTTGCTCAAGAATCATCTTACCCAGGCAGATGGCCGACAGGCACAAGAAAAGATGCTCAACATCACTAATCATCAGGGAAATGCAAATCCAAACCACAATGAGATACCACCTCAGACTCATCAGAGTGGCCATCATCAAAAAGAACACAAATAACAAACGCTGGGGAGGGTGTGTAGAAAAGGAAACCCTCCTACCCTGTTGATGGGAATATAAACTGATGCAGCCACTGTGGAAAACAGTATGGAGATTTCTCAGAAAACTAAAAACAGAGTCACCATATGACCCAGCACGTCCACTCCTGGGTATGTATCCGAAAGAAAGAAAAGCACTAATTCGAAAAGATACATGCACCCCAATGTTCACAGCAGCATGGTTAATAATTGTCAAGATATAGAAGCAACCTAAGTGTCCACCAGCAGATGAACGGATAAAGGAGATGTGACAGATATACAGATATATAGACACACACACACACAGTGGAATACTACTCAGCCATAAACAAGAATGAAATATTTGCCATTGGCAACAACACGGATGGACTTGGAGGGTATCCTGCTAAGTGAAGTCAGTCAGACAGAGAAAGACAAATACTATGTGATATCACTTACACGTGGAATCTAAAACATACAACAAACTAGTGAATATGTCAAAAAAAGAAACAGACTCACAGATACAGAGAACAAATTAGTGGTTACCAGTAGGGAGAGGGAAGGGAGGAGGGGCAGTATAGGGGTAGGGGATTAAGAGGTACAAACTATTACCTATAAAATAAGCTACAAGCATACACTGTACAACACAGGGGCTATAACCCATATTCTATAATAACTATAAATGGAGGATAACCTTTAAAAATTGCGAATTGTACACCTGTAACTCATATAATATTGTACACCAACTATACTTCAATTTTTAAAAGTAAGGTAAGATAAGACTATCAAAACCTTCAAAAAGGGAATGGAAAAAAAGAAGCATCTTACCAATTTCTGCTGTTCAAACATAAGTTTTTTATAGAAGAGATGGAACTGTTCAAAGCTGAGTTCATCTTTGTGTGCGCCTATTTCCTGTAAATATATAAAAAAAGTGACCACACGATTTTTCTTGTCCACCACAAGAATGCCTCTTCCCTGTTCACAGAAATACCATGGCTCTGCTACAACACTGGTTAAAATCAAACTTGCATTCCTCTGAACCCAACTATCCACAAGTTTCCTAATTTATCTGCCTGGAGAACATACCCACCAGGGATCCCTGGTGAGATCCTTCCCTTGACTCCCCAGAAGGGAAGGATCTTAGCCAGAATTCCAAGCGCCATAATGCAGAACTCCTCCTTCTGGGGGCAGAAGACACTTTCAAATCTAGACATATTTATAGGGTATGTACAGATAGGTCATTTTTAAAAGCATAAGAAAATGAACCGAGCCCTTAGAATTAACAGAGCTCAACTCCAGGTCTGTCCCCTGAATGGCTTAACAGCTTTGGGCAAATCACTTGACCCTCTCAGACCCTCCGTTTCTTCATCTGTAAAATGGGAGAACCACCATTACCCTCCTCGGACTTCCCTGAAACCAAACCAGAGAACATCCACGTAGCACCTGCTTGGTAAAGGCTTGATAAGGAACAAAATTCCAACTACGTGGCGGTCAGTGGTAAATGCCTCTCCCATCTCTCTTCTGTTAGTCCCCACCCTTCTCTGGTTTCGCCTTCTTGGACCAGTTCGAATGATGGGGGCGGGCCAAAAGATGGCTTGATAAGCCATAAAGTGGGTTAACTGTTCTGGGAGCTCACTGGTATAAAAATGAATGAGCTTCTTCAGCTGAGGAATCCTGTGACATGCCCCTGGGAGTCCACCAACTGGGACTATTGGGATGGAGTGTTGTTGGGCTCCTTGACGAGAGTCACTATCTCTCTGAAGGCCAGAAAGAATGCCTATGGATCACCTCCATCCTTACACCCTTCAGAAGAGCCCCACCTGACCTATGCTACCCCATCACTCATGGAATGACCCGCCTCAGATCTACCAATGGCTTAATTACACAAGAACATAAACAAATTAAATGATGGGCAGAAGGAGGGATGGAGGGATGGGAGGATGGAGGGATGGAGGGATGGAGGGATGGAGGGATGGAGGGATGGAGGGATGGGAGGATGGGAGGATGGGTGGAAGGAAGGATCAGTGGATGAAGGGAGGGGTGGGTGCGAGGAGAGGGGAAGGGCAGAGAAGAGTCGCCTCTGACAACTACGCTATCAGGACCTGAATACAAAACGCCACATCCCTGGCAACCTACATAAGGAATCTTCCATAATATTTTCCAGAAGAAACACATGTGTTCATATTATTAAAAGGCAAACAGGCTGTGGGGTAGTGAGGGAAAGGGAAAGGGAAAGTTGGACTGGTGGAAACGTCCCAAGTCAAGCAGCTCGGTGAACGCAGTCTTCGTGGATGACGTCCTCTGCCACGACTGAGAACACGGGCTTAAGGTCTTCACACAATCCCTCTGTCTGGACTAGGATGGATGAATCTGGAGGCGGGGGACTTCCTTGGGCACCATTCAGTGGAGCTCAAAGGCACGTAGTGGCTTCATGGGAAAGGCACACGTAGCCCTGGGTTCACAAAATCGCCAGGCTGAGACACAAAACTTACCACGAACTTATCTTTGAGGAACTTGGCGCTGCTCACTTTGAAGTTGACCAGGGGCAAGATGGTCTTCAACTCTCGGAGGCTGATGCTGCAAAAGAGGGGAACCCCAGCCCCGTTAGCCTTGAGGGGTGTCAAGAGTGGAGGATCTGGCTACTCCCGTCAGCTCCCATCTCTACGAGAAGACCCACCACCAGTTGTTAGTGAGCACTAACTGGGAACAGAGACTCTGGGATCAAGACACCCGATGTGCAAGGCTGGTCTCCACCCTTCAGGGATGGCTGTGGACACGGATCACGTTGGAGATTCACAGTGAGGGCAGAAATGGTGTCGGATAACGTCGGCAGAGGCGAAATGTCACAGGGGTTCCAGCCAAGAAGAGGTCACTGAAGGCCAGAGACAGGCAGGGGAAGGAGCCAACCTTCTCTGAACACCTACTATGTGCCAGGCTGCCCCGGGGATCTCCAGGCAATGACGTCACCTCACCCCTCGCTACACCTCACCCCCCACACAGTATGCATTCTTGAGCCCCAGGGTTCAGAACAGGCAACGGGGATGGGGGCAGGGTATGCGGCTCAAGGTCGGAGCTGGTCTGACGACCTGAGGAGGTGGGCACCATCATCACTCCACGCGGCAGGTGAAGAAACCGAGGCTCAGAGACGCTGGGTGCTACCACGCGGCGGAGGCGGACTCCAGGGCAGCCTGCCTCCGGGTCTGCCTGTAACCACTGCATTTGAAGCCTCTCAGGGAACGCCATGAACAGTGATGGAGGGCGGCGGGTCAAGGGCCTGAGATCCAGACCCTCATGGCTGCAGAGCCAAGTGTCCGGCAGAGCGAGAGAGGGTGGTCCGGGCGGTCTCTGGTGTGGCCAGAGAAAACTGTTCTGCGTTCCTGGAGACGTCAGACTAGAAAGGGGCTGTGCGTGGCCCGGAAGGAAGTCTGCCCGGGCTGTGGGCAGGAACGGCCCAGCTTCCGCCACACTGTCTACTCGGCCTCCGCCAGCACGCCCGGGAGGAAGCAGCAGGCCACACTCGGAAGCTGCCCCGGGAGACCGCCAAGAGGACTCCTGGCCACCCCAGTGTCCCCACCTCCAGCATCCCTGTCTCTCGTCTAACGGCCTCCCTAATGTGGGAGACCTTTACGGGCCACGTGTTCCCCACCTCCCACCACTCCTGGGGCCGGCATCCAGGGCTTTCCCAGAGAAACGGTGAGGGCAGCACAAAGCCCTCGGCAGGCCCGGCGGGGCTGGCCGCGCAGAGAAGCGAGCAGGCTGGCTGAGACCCCCTTTCGGACCCTGCCCCCGGGGTGTCCACGAAGAGCCTGGCCAGGGCAGGATGAAGGGCGAGGAGTGGTGGGGGATGGCGCTGTAAAACGAGGCAGGGAGAGGGTCTGGCCTAGCTGGTAGCCAAGGCGGCTCACCCAGGACCAAGGAAGAGGTCGGCATCCCCTGGGGAACCCAGAACTTCCAGGCAGAAACGGGACCAGGAAACCTTCCCACACCCAGGAACAAAGGGACTGGGGAGCTGGGAGCCAGTGCAGCTGCCGGGGGGGCCAGTGGAGCAAACACAGGGCCCGGGGGCACGAGAATCTGAGCACTGGGGCATCTGAGCCCACCGGCTCCAAAGGTCCCGCCTTACAGTGGAGCAACTGAGCCCCCAGGTAAAGGTGGGGGCCAGAGAGCTTCTCTGGGCTCCTGTGCAGGGACTAGCCACTCCACTCCACTCCCCATGCCGCGCCCTCACTCCCCGCTCTGGGCACGTGGACCAGGACTGGCCCGTGGAGCTGCTGGCGGGTAGGAAGCCAGCAGCTCCCAACTTCACCCCTCTCCCCGTCCAGGACTTGTCATCAGATCTCAGCCAAGATCACGGTCTGCCCTCTGGCCGTAACTCAGGACAGCTCTGCAGGGCCTCCCTGGAGCCCCCCACGGGGCCAGCGGAGGCCGTGACTGTGACTGCATCACAATCCAGCTGCCTTCGCAGGTGTGGACCCGCACACACTCCCCATAAGCTTCCTGCACACAAAGCCCATCTCAGATTCTGCTTCCTGCAGGCTCAGCCCGTGACCGTGCGTTAGGGAACCAGGGCAATGGGGAGGGATGGCAAAAACTACCCCCTCCCCATGGGCACTGAACAATCATGTCAGCTTCCCTCCTCAGCTTGGCATGCTCCCAGATGCTACAACGCTGCACCCTGGGGCAGCCTTTACCAAACAACTGAGGTTGGCAGCCCTGGGAAACTTACCTGCCACCCTGAGGCTGGTAACCGACACCTCCACCACCCCCAGCTTCTTGTAACAGTAATAAACATTCATTAGTGTTGTAAGCCAGCCACTGGCCAAGCACTGGTCACAAATGAACCCACTGAATCTTCAAACCAATCCCAGGAGGTAGGAACTATGATCTCTCTTACAGATTAGGAAACGAAGGCACAGAGAAGTCAAGTAACTTACCCAAACTCATACAACCAGTAAGTGTTAGTGCTGAGATTCAAACCTCAGCGCTGCCCAACAGAATTTTCTAGGATGATGGCAACGTTCCGTATCAGGGCTGTCCAATGCGCCTAGGGCAACCAAGGAACTGAATTTTTAAATTTTTATTTAATTTTAATTACTTTAGATTTAAATAGTCACAGGTGGACGGTGCAGCTCTAGAAGTCTGCTTCTCTAAGTAGGGTCCCTGGAACGCCAGGATCAACATCAGTTGGGAATTTGTTACAAGGGCACATTCATGATCCCCACCCAGACCCAGTACAACAGAACTTCTGCAGGACAGGCAGCGCACCTCTGCAGGTAAAGCCCCCCCAGGCTGTCTGACGTGCTGGAGCCAGGACTGCTGACCGCAGGGAACCTATTTGCATGCCTGCTGAAGACAGAACTGGACCGCACACCTGCCTCCCACCTGCACGCCCAACCCTCCCGCCTCCTGAAGGCCAGGCTGAGCGAGAACAGGAAGTGCACACTCGGTTTATGCAAAGTCAGTGTCACATGCCGAGGGGCAAGGGGCAAAGTGGGAAAGAGATGTCCACAGAGACAACCTGCTCCCAGCCCGTAGGTCTGCTGGCCCCTCTGCAGGACTCAGCCCGTGAGCCTCACCCTGAGGAATGCAATTCCAGTGACCACCCTCCACCCCCGAAGGTTCAGGGGCTTTCGCAAGGGGTATTTTGACCAAAGAAGTTTTCCCCTAATGCACTGACCTTAGAACCTAATTCCCAGGTAAGAGGCAACTAAACTCTATAGAGACTCAAAAAGAGGGGGTTTCTGGAAACCTGGTCAAGATTAATGTTGAACGATTCAAGCCTTTGACTCAGTCTCCCCAGGCCTGGAAATGTTATAAGGACGAGAACGTTCTGGTTGTCCCTTGTTACAATGCTACGTCTACGAATGAAGAGGGAGGGCTTCATTCATCTGACCAACACTACAAAGACCAAACCAGCCGGATCACCGACCTCGAGAGCCCCCACCGGTGTGAACAGCAACAACAGGGGGAAGACTCTAAGAAAGCAGAGAGAGTCCGGCCGACGGGACAGACTGGCACTAAGACCGAGAATCCTACGATGACCCGAAACACGCTTCTTGTGAGGGTCGCTCCATAACGTTCCCTCTGAACGCAATGCAGTGAAACTGTGAACATTAATAAAAACCGGACACAAACTAAATGACAAACAAAAGGCAACTTTTCAAGCAAATATCAGATCCCATTGGTTGAATTACAATGTAGGCGTTAATACTGTTCCCAAAGAGTTGCAACAAAATGTAAACGTGTTTATGGTTTAAGGTGAGGTGAAAATAGTTTCCCCTCCTTGCGTGCGGACTGGACTTAGTGACTGATTCCCAGAAAATAGAGCGGGGGCAGGCAGGTGGTGGGGGGGCTTTACAAAGGAGAGATCTGGAAGACACAACCTTGGCCAAGTAATCAAGGTTTCCATCACCCTTGACAAGCCATGGTGAAAGCAGGCATCTCTTGAGCAAGGTGAAGAAAAAGACCTTCACCTCCGTGATATTCTTCCCAAACACAACCTCAGGTTACCCTTAACTCCAGTCTAATCATGACAAAAATATCAGACTAACACAAATGGAGGGACATGTTACAGAATACCTGAGACCTACTCCTCAAAACTGTCAAGGTCATGCAAGACAAGGAAAGATGGAGAAACCGTCACAGCCTAGAGGACACCAAAGGGGCAGAACAACTAAGTACAATGTGGGGTCTTGGGTGGGATCCAAGACCAGGAGAAGGACACTGGTGGAAAAATGGTGAATTCCAATAAAGTCTAGGGTTCACCTAACAGTCATATAGCAAATGTGGTTTGTCAAGGTTTGACATGAATGATGTGAACCGTAGGGAAAACTGGCCAAAGGCGTATATGAGAAATCTCTGTACCATCTTTGCAACTTTTCTCTAAATGTAACATTATTCCAAAATTTTAAAATTAGTTAAAGAAGAACACAATGTAAAGTCATATGTATGGTTACATATTAATGAAGTAAAATGAACAGCAAACCAATAAAGTTGAGGGTGGAAATCTACTGAAAACAATTGTACCCAGAGTTAAACAGTGCCTACCATTTAATGTCAAACTCACACAAATTTTTTCTAGTTTTCAGTATTTCCAAAATTTTCTATAACGAACATGAGCTACTTTCATAATATATATACACTACCAAACGTAAAATAGATAGCTAGTGGGTAGCAGCCACATAGCACAGGGAGATCAGCTCGGTGCTCTGTGACCACCTAGAGGGCTGGGATAGGGAGGGTGGGAGGGAGACGTAAGAGGGAGGGGCTAAGGGGATATATGATATATGTACAGCTGATTCACTTTGTTATAAAGCAGAAACTAACATAACATTATAAAGCAATTATACTCCAATAAAGAAGTTTAAGAAAAACAAAAAAACATAGGCTTGGGGGTTCCCTGGTGGTCCAACAGTTAAGCCGCTGAGCTTCTAATGCAGGGGGCGCCAGTTCAATCCCTGGTCAGGGAACTAAGATCCCACATGCCTTGCAGCATGGCCAAAAAATAAAATTAAATAAAACATAGGCTTGATTACCATATCTAAAAAAAAAAGTCCATGTGATGTTTTTAAATGGGCAAAGGACTTGTCTAGATATTTCTTTGAAGAAGATATACAAATGGCAAAAAGCACATGGAAAGATGCTGAAGATCTGTAGTCATTAGGAAGATGCAAATCAAAACCAAAATGAGATACTACTGTACACCCACTGGGATGGCTGGAGGGAGGGAAGGGGGGTGGGGGGGGAGAAGGAAGGGAGGAAGGGAGTGAGGGAGGGAGGAGAGAAGGGGGAAGGAGGGAGGAAGGAAGGAGGGAAGAGGGGAGGGAAGGAGGGAGGAAGGAAGGAAGGTCAGGTGTTGGCAAGGAAGTGAGAAAAAAATGAAATCCTGTTGCCCTGCTGGTGGGAATGTATAATGGTTGCAGCTGCTGTGGAACACAGTAGGCAGTTCATCAAAAAATGGAACAGTATTACCATTTGATCCTGCAATGCCACTTCTGGGTAATGCACAAAAGCACTGAAAGCAGAGACTAGAAACCCATATTCACAGCAACAATACTCACAAGAGCCAAAAGGTGGAAGTACCTGGAGTAAGTGTCCATGGACAGATGGGCGGATAAACACAACGTGTTATATACACATAGTGGAATATTATTCGGCCTTAAAAAGGAAGGAAATTCTGACACTTGCTACAGTAACGTGGATGAACCAAGAAGACATCGTGCTCAGTGAAGTACGCCAGTCACAAAATGCAGCATCCTTCCGCTCACAGGCCCACAGGAGTCAAGTTCACAGAGACAGAAAATATTGGGTTGGCCAAAAAGGTCGTGCAGGTTTTTCCGTAAATGTCATTTTACAGAAAAACCTCAACGACCTTTTTGGCCAACCCAATAGCACGGCGGTTACCAGCGGCTGCAGAGGGGGTAATAGAGTGAGGGCTAAATGGGTACAGAGCTTCAGTTTTGCAAGAGGGGTAGAGCTCTGCAGACGGATGGTGATGGCAGCACAGCAACATGAACGCACAGAAGCTTACACTGGAAATGGCAAGTTTTATGTTATGTATATTTCACCACAATGAAACCCATACGTAATTTTCAGTCAAAGGAGGTCCCCGTGGGGAAGGGAAGATTTCTGCCTCTTACCAGCTCAGTGATCAGCTAAGCCACAGCTGACCGGCTAGGCTGCTGTGGACAAGTGATCTAACCTCTCCTGGCCTCAGTATCCTCATAAAATGGACCAGAGGGTGCCCAGCTCGCCAGTCTGAGAGCCTTCTTTCCATAAGCTTTCCCCAATTCCCTAAGTAAGGAGAGTGCTCAGAACGGCAGGGGTTACAAAGTGACTCCTCACAAACGCCAGCTGCTGCCATGTTGCCTCTCGAGAGGCTGAAAAGGGAAACATGCTCAGGCCAACAAAAACCCGGGACTGGACACTGCCCGAGCCGGGCCAGCCCACAGTCTGCCTCCCATTCCCAGGCTCTTCCCTTCGTGCTGCAGCTCCTTTGTTTTCTTCCAGGAAACGGGACCACTGTGCGAGACAGGAAAGGAGGGAGACTGGCAGAAGTCAGCTGCCCTTTCATTGGCACCTTGGTCAAGTTCCTTTTGAAAAACTCCCTCTGGGCCTCCCAGAACCACAGGAAAGGTGGGATTTTCCACGTGTTGACAGAGAAGCAGGGCTCCGCCAAGCGGAAGGGAGGTCGGGGAGCGGGAACGGCAAGCAGGGAACAAGGAATCATGGCCAGAGACAGACTTGCTGTCTGCTGAAGGTTCTGGAAAGGACTTCTCTGTAAAGGACTTGCAAGAATCCATTCTGAGCGAGAGAGCTGGAGGGAGGCTCCCACTTCTTGACAACAGAAGTTGGAGAAGCAGACTGTGGAACCAGATCCACAACGCCATACCCCACCATGTGGAGAGAGGGCCCAGGAGGGCTCCCTCTCTCAGCTCTGTGCCAACCTCAGCTGTGAATCACCTCAAAGCCACAGAGAAGGGAAACAGTCATGGGAGGCTCCACCTCCGAGACTGAAAGAGGCCAGTGTATATAAAATCCCCCAGCGCGGGGACCTCGTTTGATCCACCCTCCGTAAGACGGACCAGGCCCAGGTGTGGGACCACAGAACGCTGGCTGAGAGGAGGAGGGAGGGAAAGGAAGATGGACAGAGACACGGACTGAGCTGCTGGCTGACCTAACAACGTCACTAAACTCTTCACCGCTTCCTGGTTACCATCTGCAAAGCATCCCGTGGGGCACGTGTACAAGAGACCACAGAGGCTCTGAAATCAACAAGTGATGGATGACACTAGCCTGACACTAGAATGCCTCAGGGATGGAAAGACTTTCAGGAACAAGAGAGGTGAGTTGTAGAGGTTACTTGTTGCCTCACTGACGTGATGCTGACACATCTTAATGGAGAACGGAAGGAAGGAAAAACATTTAAAAACTTTCAGAGAGGTCTGATGTGAGGCTAAAATGATACAATTGATTGTCAAGTGCTCAGTACAGTGCCTGGCATGCTGGGTGCTCAATAAATGGTGTTTTTTTGGTCATTACATTATTAACAAGAACTGGATCATAACCGAAAAAAAATGGAGAGGATGTTCAACCTCGCCCATAAACAAGGAAACGCAAATTTAAGCCAAAATCCACTGCTGCCTTTTACCCACAGATTAATAAAGGTCAAACTCTGGAGACATAGTGAAACAAGTACTTTCTTGCACTGTTGGTAGAAATAGAAATCGCTACCACCTCTCTCAAAAATCTCAGACCCGAGGACACCTGGCCGCTGGAATTCCTCTTCTGGGAATTTATCCTGCTCATACCCTCATCACCTAAGTTTACAAAAAGGGAGATGTGAAGGCTTTCACGGTATAATAAAGGACCAGGAACAACTTCATGTCCATCAAGAAGGAAATGATTTCTCATCAATTAGAGAATTACACTGCATCCATCCAAGGACAAACCGCATTGGATACAAAAATGTCTGGCATGGAGTGTTGTGTGTGCCGACAGGGAACCACTCCAAGACGTGCTGTTCAGTGAACCGGTCAAGGACGCTGAATTACGTGTTATCACATCGCCCCACTCACGTCCACCCAGCCCTTACGACCATCGCTACTGAACTGGGTTTTACCTCTTGATGGTCAATCCCCCAGCACAGAGGAAGGGCAGGCACCATGGTGACCCTGTTTCTCCCCGGGACACAGAAGGGGCTCACATGTGAAGGCCTAAAGGACGTGCTGCAAGTGCTCCACAAAAGAGAAGCCACCTCTGCAGGTGGACCGGAATTTTCCACCGCAGTGAGGTCCTGCACGGGTGGAGAGCCTGTCACCGTGACCCCCGCCACCTAGCACTGTGTCCGGCACCTTGTAAGTCAAATCTAACTTCATGAGGAGCTTTCCACAGCAGAGAACTTGCTCCAACCCCCTCAGAATGTTTAAAGAAAGAATGAACATCCGAGTCCAAAACGATCGGGAGAAAACTACAAAAATGTGAGCGAACCTTACCTGTTTCTTCTGGTCTGATCCACAGAATAAATCTGCTTTCTCAACCAACTGGGAAGAGAGACAAAGAGAGAAAGTTAGGAAACAGCACGAGTCGCAGCGAGTTCTACAGGATGGGACAAAGGAAACTGGAAACGAAAAGGAAGGTTTTCCAACTTTCTAACTCAGGCGATTTGGGAAGAAGCAGTTTCTCCTTGTGGTTGAAATGCTCCAGCTGGGCCAAGGGGCCCCTTTGACAGAGGCTGGCAATCTTTAAACTGACAATTCCCTCTGATTCTATGAGTTAATCCCCAGAAAGCTGGTAAGGAAAATGGTGTAAATCAGAGGGCTTTGGTTTGCTGGAGGGACAGTAATTCACACACCAATCCCACCCAAAGGGAGTGGCAGGTGGAAAATCCTGGACCTCAAGCCGGGGGATCAGTCAGCTTAATCCCTCTTCCTAAACCCTTTAAGAAACGAGCCTCGGGCCCTCCCCTCCAACCCAACATCAGTACGAGCTTCTGTCTCAGCCCCAGGGCCCTCCTCACTCCAGCAGGCGAAGACCAAGGCCCAGCACTGAGACAGGCTTTTCTGTGAGATGCTGCAGAGTCCACAGCCACGAATGGGCACCTACTGCATACAGGACACTCCATGAGCCTCCAAGACGCAATATTCCCTTTTTCTTTCTTTCACCATATTGGCTAAAGGGAGCAGAATAAATGCCTGAGTGAAGGAACACAGAGATAAACAGGCCCAAACCGTCACCTCTCAATGATGGTGGGGGTGGATGCGCTCATCACTTCCTGGTGCAAGATCTTCAAGCCAGAGAGCCACTTAGTTGCATCTTCTTTAGAGTCGGCTGCAGAGGTGAGGGGACAGAAATGCTCTGTTACTCCCTGGGAAGACAGACTGCTGCTTAGGGACCCCCGCCCCACCTTCCCAGCCCCACACAGACCACGTGGCTGGGAGGAGCCTGTGCTGGTTCCTAGGACCTACTTTTTGTCTCAGATGAGGCCATATGCCCATGGCGAGCCTCCTACAGCAGGGGTGACAAGCCGGTGACTTTTTAAAAGTTTTAGCCCTATGCTAACAAACAAGAGGCAGGACCTGGGATAACTTGTACCACAATCCTGAGCAGCCCTGAGCATCTCCCCTGTTTCCCTTCAAGGCCAGAGAGAGGGGTGGAAAGTAGGTGATGCTGATGCCTGTAAGGGAAGCGGCAACAAGTACCAGTTAAGAGCCTGGCATCATCGCCAAGTCCCAGTGTACCGCTTCAGGGCTCTGTGATGTTCAGTTGGTTACTTAACCTCTCTGTGCCTCATTTCCTAATCAGTAAAGTGGAGATGGCAATGCAAACAACTAGTCCAGTTATTAAACATCTCCAAACTAGGGAGTTTGCTAGTCTAGATAGAGCATGCTGAGGTTTCTGCTCTCACTCTTCCCGTGTGGACGAGGAGAAAACTACAGCTCAGAAGAGTGACGGGACCTGTCCCAGAGCCAGTAAATAAGAAGCTGGGATCCAGACATCACCCTGGGCTCCACGTCCTGCTTGGGCTTTCAGGGCCTCCCTACCAAGAAGAGCACCCAGGCTTCAGCCTGCAGGGGGGCTACGTGGACAGAGCTCAGGGACACAGTCACGGGCCCCTCTCTCCTGCCCCATCTCTGCCTCCTGCTACACACCATCAATCAGACGGCCACCCAACACTTCCTACATCCAGCTTGCTAATTTCCCTCCTCCAAGCCCTGGCATATGCAATGTCCTCTCCCTGGACCATCCTCCCTCTTTAACCCCAGCTCCTACTGATGCCTTAAAACCCAGTTGAAAAGTCACCTCCCCTGCAAAGCCTTCCAGGGAATGAGGCACTGTGTATTCCTGCAGCACGCTTATGTTTGGACTACTGCTCTTATCACAGAGTACTCTAAGTTCCTGTCCACACATCTGTCTCCCCAAGGAGACTGTGAGCTCCTTAAAGGCAGCAACTGGGTCTTATTCCTCTTTACAGCCCCAATGACACGTAGTACAACCTGGCACAGGGCATATGCTCAAAAGATGCCTGATGCAAGCATGAATGAGAACTCAAACCAATGAGACCTATCTGACCCTAACTTATATGTCTTTTATAACTGAGTTGTAATAGTTCTTAAATATTCTAGATATGTTTTGTATCAGGCATACGAATTGCAATTCTTTTTCTCTATATTGTGGGTTGTCTTTTCACTTTTTTTTTCTCTTGGCCGTGCTGCATGGCTTACAGAATCTTAGTTTCCCCACCAGGGATCAAACTCAGGCCCCCTGCAGTGGAAGCTCGGAGTCCTAACCACTGGACCGCCAGGGAAGTCCCTACCTGACCCTAAATTCAAAGTCTCTAACGCTACTCAGCTTTCACGGTTTCCCCCCACTTTGGTCTACTTTTAATGCTACTTACTTTCTCTCTCGTCAGTCATGATTGTACGTCAAGTTCTAAGTCAATACATTCTGGGATTAGACCTGAAGGCAGCTACAGGCTTCTGCCCCTGAGCAAAGTGCCTGAGCTTTTTCACAGCCCTTCTCCTAGCTGCTCAGAGGCCTCTTGGACTTTCTGGTGGACTCATAGGGATGGCCTGAAATCTCACCTCCAGATACGTGTGTCTCCGTGTGTGCACGTGTGTGTGTGCATGTATGCGTTTACTGTTAAGTGTATGTACGCATGTTTACATGTGTGAGGTGGAAGATTTCAGGATAGTTCCTTCGGATCAGTTAAGCTGAATAAATGGTGCAGGCCAGACTCTGCTGGACAAAAAATGTACCTGCCTTCAGCTTTCTGCACGAGCCAGGTAGGCCCTTAACGTAATCCTTTCCACGTGCCAGTGGAGTCGGCATTATTGGGCTCCCCGTTTCACAGCTGAGCGAACTGCAGCTCAGAGAGGCTGAGTCGCTTACCCAAAGTCACACAGCTAGAAAGGGACAGGGTTAGGATTCAAAACCATGACGCCCTAAACACGCATTAGCGGTTGGGCAGGTGTGAGCATCCTGCTAGTGAACCTTCTAGGAAGGAAACAAAGACCCAGGGAGGGAGAAAAGCACATGCCATGCACCCACCTGCTAAGCTGAGCGTGTTGAGAACGAACTGGGTGCCGTACAAGATGGTGAAGCAGCACTCTTCCTTCTGGCGGACTGCTTTCGCACGCTCAAAATCCTTGGAGTTCTTCCCTGGGCGGATTTCCTTTATTTCCATGATATCCACTGAAGGAAAATTAACATCAGCCAATCAGAAGCTGGAGTTCACTCCATCTGAGGCTGCAGCCATGTGCCTGCACCCCAGACACAGAGAGCCCAGCTCTTCACTCCCCAGAGTGAAGACAAGCTGGGCCAGCTTGCAGGATGATGTGCAAAAAATGAAATGCTTGTTGTTCTGAGCCACTAAGTACCGGGAGACTTGCTGTACAGCAATAGATGACAGAAAAGGAGGAAACCCATCCTCCCTAGAACCCCTGCTGCCACGTGATGCCAACTCACGCCTAGCCAAAACCTACCTGGCCAGGGTGGCACCTGACCCAAGGGTGACCCCTCCCTCCATGGGATGGCCATCTCATCTAAGGGTGACCCCCACATACAGGGTGGCCATTTGGCCCAAGAATGACCCCCTCCCCTCACAGGATGGCCACCTGATTCAAGGGAGACCCCCCCTTCCTGCCATAGGATGTCCCGAGAACTAAGGAGTGTCACAGAGTGGCAGGTCCATCCATCCTTTCGTCCCTTTCTTCTGTCAAAAAAGCACCTTTTCCTGGGATGAACCCATTTCACGTGCTTGAGGTGAAGATGATCCACACCCCGGCTCCTTTCACCACAACAAGCCAAAGGAGGGGCCAAGGTCCCAGGAATGACCACGATGTCCCACCCCTGGCACGGTGATGGGCTCAGGGATGAGCACATGGCCTAAGCTGCCCCCATCAGCATCCTCCTGGGACTTACGTGGCCAAAGCTCTTCATCAAATTTCTCCTGCTGCTGCCGCCAGGCTGGGGGTAGCAGGCCACGTGGCCTGCCATACAGAAAGCCAAGATTCATCCCTGATGCACTACTGAGCCCCTGGGTCCATTTGGGCTTGAAGCCACTTCTGCCCTGGAGCATGCTACCTGGGTGACCCAATAAATTCTCTTTTTTGCTTTGGTTAGTGGGAAATGAGTTTGTGTCACATGTAACCATAAGAATCCTGGGACATACATCTTTGTTCTTACACTGCACAGAGATACAGGAAAGAGGTATTCCTGGAAATGAGAGAGTAGGGAAGGAGACCTCAGCTTTGACCTGAGATCAAGGAAGCAAATAGACCCAAGTGAACACAGGCATTTTAGAGTCAGAATTGAACTGGCAGGAAAGGTTCACGGCCACTCACACATAACAGTAGGAGGAGGAGACAGAGTATTAAATTAGGGGAGGAGGGGATGGAATGAACCAAAGCCTTTTTTTTTTTTTAATTTATTTTTGGCTGCGTTGGGTCTTGTTGCTGCACACGGCCTTTCTCTAGTTGCGGCAAGCGGGGGCTACTCTTTGTTGCGGTGCACAGGCTTCTCATTGGGGTGGCATCTTGTTGCAGAGCACGGGCTCTAGGCACGTGAGCTCAGTAGTTGTGGCTCACGGGCTCTAGACGCAGGCTCAGTAGTTGTGCCGCACGGGCTTAGTTGCTCCACGGCACGTGGGATCTACCCGGACCAGGGCTCAAACCCGTGTCCCCTGCATTGGCAGGTGGATTCTTAACCGCTGCGCCACCAGGGAAGCCCGAACCGAAGGCTTTTCACTTTCTTACCATGGATCTAGCTAGACTGAAAACAGTTTGGGGGACAAGAATCATGAAGTGAAGTGAAAAGACTTTAAATAAACAGCATTTGCTCTGTACCCTGTGTGTGGTGGTAGCTACACAAGTCTAAACATGTGATAAAATTCCTTGAAACTATACACCAAAACAAAAACAAACAAAAGTTGAGTCCACATAAAAAATGGTGAAAACTAATTAAGGTCTGACTACTCAGCCATAAAAAAGAACAAAATAACGCCATATGCAGCAACATGGATGCAACTAGAGATGATCACACTTGGAGAAATAAGTCAGAAAGAGAAAGACAAATACCACATGATATCACTTATATGTGGAATCTAAACTATGACACAAATGAAACTATCTACAAAAAAGAAACAGAATCAGGGACATAGAGGATAGACTGGTGGTTGCCAAGGGGGAGGTGGGTGGGAAAGGGTTGGACGGGGAGTTGGGGATTAGCAGATACAAACTGGTATATGTAGAATGGATAAACAACAATGTTCTACTGTATAGCACAGGGAACTATATTCAGTATCCTGTGATAAACCACAATGGAAAAGAATATGAAAAAGAATGTATACATATGTATAACTCAGTCATTTTGCTGTTCAGCAGTAATGAACACAATACTGTAATTCAACTATTATTGAATAAAAAATAAATTTTAAAAAACTAATTAAGGTCTGTAATTTAATAACATTATACCAGTGTCCATTTCCTGGGCTTGACAACTATGGTTATGAAAGATGTTATCACAGGGGGAAATTGGATGAATGGTACACAGAAACTCTGTATTATTTTTGTAATGTCATCATGAGTCTAAAATTATTTCAAACTAAAATGTCTTTTAAAACACTTATCAAGGGACTTCCCTGGTGCAGTGGTTAAGAATCCGCCTGCCAATGCGGGGGACACGGGTTCGAGCCCTGGTCCGGGAAGATCCCACATGTCACGGAGCAACTAAACCCATGTGCCACAACTACTGAGCCTGCGCTCTAGAGCCCGCAAGCCACAACTACTGAGCCCATGTGCCACAACTACTGAGCCTGCGCTCTAGAGCCCGCAAGCCACAACTACTGAGCCCACGTGCCACGACTACTGAAGCCTGCACGCCTAGAGCCCGTGCTCCACAACAAAAGAAGCCACCGTAATGGGAATCCTGCGCACCGCAACAAAGAGCAGCCCCCACTCGCCGCAACTAGAGAAAGCCCGCGCACAGAAATGAAGACCCAACACAGCCCAAAAATAAATTAAAAAAAAAATTTTTTAAACCCACTTAATTATGGGTGGTCCTGTTATGGGGGTGGGGGTGGGGTCAAGGGGGTCCTTCATTCCTCAAAAACTAACAACAAAACACAGAGTCTTTGTGCGCGCTCAGATTCACAACCTTCTGGGGGGTTAAATCAGCACTGCTGATTTACCTGCTTCAGCAGTTATCTGAGAACATCTGAGGTATTAATGTTTGTTCTCAGAAATCAGTTACTTACCCAACCCAGCTGACTGCCAGTTAAGAGTCTAGTGACCTTAAGCAATACTTTTTTTTCCTAGCTGGTCTAACAATGATTAACCATTCTCTTTCCCCGTAAAATATCTCTAAGAGGGAATTTCTGAATTGGTCAACTGTGAGCTTTTTTCCTTACAGCAAAATTATAATAAAAATTTGATGCGTTCATAACTAAAGAAAAAAGTTTCAGATAATGTAACACTGTCTTCAGGCAATCACCAAGTCTCATCAATTCCTTCTAAATCCCTCTTGAATCTATCTTCTACCCATTCCCAGGGCCGACACCATAATCCAAGCCACTGTCACCTCTCGCTTGTGCTACCGAAGTAGCCAGGAGCTACCCCCATAGTCTTTTCTATGAAATGCAGGCATGCTCCAGCCACCCCTGGGCTTCAAGCTTGCTGACGGCATCCCAGTACTATTATAACTAAGAACCAAGGCCATGTGATGACCTGCCGACGCCTTCTGGATCAACTGTGCATCCTCACTGCTGTGCTCCAGCCACTCTGGCCAGCAGCTTGCATTCACTCCCCCACAGGACACCACCGCTGGCTCTGCTGGGGACACTTTTAGCCTAGTTAGCTCCACGTTCTCCCTTCCAGTTTCAGCTCAATCACCGTCAGACGCACAGAATACCCTCCAACTACTGCTATTACACACACCAAGCCCCTCTTCCCCACAGCACTGAAGACGCCAAGTGCCTAGTGGTGTGAACCGTGGATTCATGGCTCCTTCCCTAGATGGTGCATCTTTTCTCACCACTGTATCTCCACCCCTAGCAGAGCAACTGGTACACAGTGGGGCCCAATAAATAGTTGTTGAAAGAGGAAGTGGACAGAGAGAGATGGAGACACAGACGGGGACAGAACTGGAGATGGGACAGAGGGGGAGGCAGAGGGAGACAGACACACACAGATACGAACACACACAAATGGAAACAACCAGACAGGGTAAAAGAGGGGCAGAGACAACCAGATATGAACAGAAGACAAGCCATCCAGATGAGGGAGGGAGGGAGACACAACCATGCAACGTACAAAGTCAGAGAGAAAGAAACATGGGAAAAGACGGGAAAAGACTAAAATATAAACAGCCACTCTGATGATGCAAGCAGCCCTGACCAGCCCTACACCGCCCTTCACTTCAGTGCAAGCAAGGACCCTTTGGAGGCCAGCCCTGTCCCAGGAAAGGGCCGCAGGCATCCACCCTCGCCAGCCAGGACTGGCTGCCTCCATGATGTCATCCTGTTCACTTCCCCCTTTCCTGTCCCGGGATAAGTACTGGCCTATTCATCATGCTACTGATAAGACTATGCTCTCTCCGTTGGATTGCCTTTGTCCCATTGTCAAAGATCAGTTGATGATGTGTGTGGGTCTATTTCTGTTCTCTCTATTCTGTTCCATTGATCTAATTGTCTATTATTTCCCCAACGCCTCACTGTCTTGATAACTATGGCTTTCTAGTAAGCCTCAGAGTGGGGCAGCAGACACCTCTGACTCGGTTCTTCTTCAATGCTGCACTGGCAATTCTGGGTGTTCTGCCTCTCCATAGAAACTTTAGGGTCAGACTGTCAATATCTACAGAATAACTTGCTGGGATATTGACTGGGATTGTGTTGACTCTACACCAAGTTGCAAAGAACTGACATATTGAGTCCTTCTATCCATAAACGCAGAGTATTTATTCAGCATACTTTGTCAGCCAGACACTCTCCTGGATGTACACACTCCTGACCTCCAAAGGTCTTACAGACACACTAGCTTCACCCATGAGACTAGAAATAAAGGCAATAATAATAATCATGTACCGCTCTTACAGAGCACTTCCTATATGCCAGGCACAGTGCTAATGCTCTGCACATGTCACAGGTCGGTTCCCTGGAAGCCAAGCCTGAGGCAAGGATTCTTTTTGAGGTTTTTATTGGGCGGTGGGGTGGCGGGAGGGTGCTCAAAGGACAAAGGACTGCAGAAATAGATGAGGCAGGAGAATAAAGCTAGGCTGTGGTCCCAGCAGGGGACGGGCTTCAGCGTGGTCACAGGAGGCGCTGGAGCCTGGATCACACCAGGAAAGTGAGTCTCCTGGAAACAGCGAGGCTGTCCTCTTGCTCTCCCATGACTGTCCCCATTATACAGATGAGGAAACAGGCATGCAGAGGTGAAGTACCTCGGCCAGGGTCACCAGCCAGCAAGTGGAAGAGCCAGGATCTGAACCCTTACGTTGCTTCTCACGGTCAAGCAGGCGACGCTGAGAAGCCACGTTAGGACGCGCAGCCCTCTTCCCACCGTGCTCCAGTCAGCAAGTCTCACCATACATGGTCCTCCTGGCTATGTCGGCTCTCATTTCAGTGACTTCTCAACACCGCCTTCCTTCTCCCCCTCCCTGCACTGATCCAGCCCATCATTTTTACATCTGTGCCACAGAGTTCCTCACCAGCACTATCCGCATTCATAGGTGTCTTTGTCGGCTGCCTGTCTGCTCTCTCCTCTAAGCCCCAGGAGGACAAGGGTCGTGTCCGCCCTGTTCACGACCGGAGCCTCACACCCAGCTACGTCAGAGCCTGGGTCAGAGCAGAGATTCAGACTGCCGTGGAACACAGGATTGGGTTTCCTTCAGCTTGGCCTCCCCCAGAAGCGGACCCTGAGACAAGGATCTGAGCACATGCAGTTTATCCAGGAGCTGATCCCAGGAAACACGAGCAGAGGAGCAGGGAAGTGAGACAGAGAAGGGAAGGTGCTGATAAGGAGGCTGCTATGTCATCATCCTGGTACCCCAGGGGCACAGGGAGCTGCATGGGGATCTGGGAGCCCCTTAGAGTTTGCCCCACCAAGAGAGGGAGGGAGCTGGGGTGTTATCCCCCAACCTCCAACTGCTATTGGTTGAGGGCTGCTTTTAGGGGGCAACTCCCCAGGCCTCAGGCAAAGAGTTGCAGCATTCACGGCAATGGGCCTTTAATGTGCAGCAGTGACTACTATGGCAGCAGGGTTAGGCCTCGGCATCCTCTGCTATATCAGGTTATCGAACTGGTAGTTTCTATGCTACCCCCATGGAACCCGGCGATCAGATGTGTGAGGGGTCAAAGCTGCAATGTCTCTCTAGTTCAGGCAGAACAGTGGCAGATGTGGACAAGTCCCAGCTGTTGCGGGAACAGCGTCTCTGGGCTCCCCCAGGAGAGATCCTACATGGAGACGGGACGAGATGTTACTGCCCCTGTACTTTCTGTAGCCCCAGAGGTATCCTGGATCAGCAGGTGGTCCTGGAATTACAGGTATCAGTGCACTTCCTCGCTCACTCTCTTTTTAATGTGGCAGCTTTTTTAAGGTATGGTCCACATGCCGTACAGGTCGTCCACATGAGTGTACAATTCAATGACTTTTAGTATATTCACAGACTTGTGCAACCACCACCAGCACCGATGTTAGAACATTTTCATCCCCCCAAGAAGAAACCCATACCCTTCAGCCTCCACATTTCCCACTCAGCCCACACCAGCCCCCGGACAACACCCATCTACTTTCAGTCTATAGAGACTTGCCTGTTCTGGATGTTTCATATAGAGAGAGGCATACGACACGTGGTCTCTTGTGTCTCGCTTTTAAATTCACTTGGCAGAAGATCTCTGAGGTTCCTCCGTGTCGTAGCACGTGTCAGTACTTCATTTTTATGAATGGATAACATTCCACTGTATGGATTTGGTCTATCCATTTACCCACTGATGGACATTTGGGTTGTTTCCACCTTTTCGTTATTGTAAATAGTACAGCTATGAACA